GGTTAGGAGTTGCCAGTAGAGAATGGTGCTGGCACTGAGGCGAGAGAGACGTGAGCGAACGTTCCGGGAGCGGAAGGATGTCCTGGCTTTGTTTGTTGACGAGCAGCTGATCAAACGGTATCGTTTGGACAAAGCGGGTATTATTTTTGTCACAGATTTAATAAGGGACGTCATCTCATCAGTAACATTACGCAGCAGAGCTTTCACAGCAGAATTAAAGGTCATCACAATGCTTCGATATCTCACCACTGGAAAAATGCAACAGTGTAACGCTGATGATTTGGGGCCATCACAACCGTCAATTAGCAGAATTGTTATGGAAACAATAATGGCCCTTACTACTCACCTCGTCATGCATTTCATTGACTTCCCAACTACACCCTGGGTAATTCAACAGAAGCAAACTGCATTCATGCAAATAGTTGGCTTCCCTGGAGTGGTCAGTGCAATCAATCATGGCACACATATTAGGATCATCACTCAAAGCTTGGACGAGAGCGTTTATGTAAACAGGAAGAGGTACCACAGTATCAACACGCAAGTAGTGTTTGATGCAGACTACAACATCTTGGATGTGGTACCCAAGTGGCCTGGGTCCACCCATGATACAAGGATCCTAAATGAAAGTGGCCTGAAGCAGCTGTTTGAGAGGCACATTGTGCCACCTGGGTGTCACCTAAGTGGGGGTTCTTACCCCTTATCAGATGCCACAGACACAAGGCCAAATGAACTATAACAGGTTAGACCAACAAAATGCCTAATTGTTTTAAATTTAAAATGTTTAATTAAGTTTATAGAATATGGTTTAATAGGTGGGTTTATTCTCGTCACAGGGCACACAAAAGCACAAGAAGTGTGGTGGAGAGAGGAATTGGCCAGTGGAAGCGCAGATTCTACGTTCTGCATTCAGAAATACGGCAGAGTGTGCCGTATCATTACGGCATGTGCAATACTGCACAACATTTGTAAGGCGCGCAATGTCCCAGTCCCAACGGCAGACGGCGATGATGACGATGAGGGAGGAGATGGAGATGCGAGCATCCCTAGCAACATCCATCCATCTGATAGTATCTCTTCTTCTCTTTAGTTTGGTTTTCTTTTTGATTCCATGTTGGTTTCAGCTTGGTGGACTGTGGCTGCAGTATATAGAGCCACTCAGTTAACCGCACACCAGTTTCAAGGTAGTTGCCTAATTAATGAATTGGAAAGATAAGGAAACATTTATTTTTGATTCACTGCCAATGTATATGTTTTGTATTATTTGTAGATTATTGTCAAAATATACACTCCCATTGTCCATTTAATTATTCACTGAGATATTTCTAAGATATTTCTATATTCTTAGATAAGGGATTCCCTTCAGTGATTGGTCATTTCTATTGACTTGGAAGTGACGTCACCTAAAATTCCGTTTACGGCACATAGTACTGTCGTGATTCAGCTCTGAGACCGACACTTAAGATTCAGTCCTACACTTCACTAAAAGTGTGAGTAAGACGCTTGATAACTAACTTTTAAGTGCAGCTTTCAGCGAAGAATTTTTTTACTCATAAGTCGACTCTTAGCAGTGCTCTTAGGAGTAATTCTAAGAAGCTTGATAAATACGGGCCCAGGGCCCGTATTCACAAAGAATCCTAAGACTAAAGTAGCTCTTAGTGACATCATTCTAAGAAAAATCTTAGAATTCCTCGAATTCTAAGATTTTTCTTAGAATTTTCCCTTGGTAAGATAAAAGTTATTCACAAAGCATCTTAGGCCTTAAGAGAGCTCCTAAGGTGAAAAACTGTTCAGAGGAGGGAGGAGGACTTTTAAGAAGCCTAAGAGTGTCTTAAACAGAGAAGATGGCGGAAAGACAGAGAGGAAGGAGAGATATTCTCCGTATATTGAACGACAGTGATTTAATAAGACGCTACCAGCATGATAGTGCAGGGATAATGTTTGTGGTTGACCTCATCAGGGATGAGCCTTCTTTTCCCACCCAGCGTAGTAACGCAATAACGCCCGCTTTGGATTGCAGCACGTACCAGCGCTTCTCACACTCATTGCTTGTGCGTAAAAGGAGAGGGAATGATGCATTGATTTGTCGGGCAATACGCTCCCAAGTCTGCCTCTTCCCTTGTGCCGTGATCCCGGGATCGAATTTCCCTCTTAAAACTCCGTTGTTCTCCTCCACGAGCTGTGCCAACAGCAGGCACTGCTCTTCTGTCCAGTTCGGGTTTCTCGTTCTCCATTTCGTTCATTGTTTTGGTCATTCTGCCAAATCAAACCGCTTTTTACAAGGAGGCCAGCAATCACAGTAATTGCTGACAGCTGAGTCTGCGTCCACCATTAATATCAAATAGATTAAGTAGTAAAATTACCAGCATGGCGAGTAAACATAATAATAAACAAATCAATATAATAATCGGCATGTGAATGAGGTACGTTCAAACATTTTGAAGCTGTGTAACAATTAATTTAATTTTGCTGAGTTTCATCATCATGACATAAAATTATTTTCATGATTACACATTTCTTAATAGCCTACAGTCTAAGTTCTATGATGGTTGATTTCACTGTCCATTCATTACTAGGAGCACTTTTTTTTTTTTTGTAACAACCAATCACAGCTTTTAGAAGACTGCGTCATACCTAGCAACGGGGTCAACCACACCTCCTCACTAAGATAAAAGTTTCTGTCCCCTCCTTGCTCAGAGTTGCTCTCAGAAACTTCCTGAATCACTCTTAAGCTAAGATTCCTTGCAAGGAATTTTTAGGCTAAGTTAGGAGCTCTCTGAGAGGACTCTGAGAATCTTTGTGAATACGGGCACAGATCAATAACGGCCGCGTTTCCCAGTTAAGAGCCATCTTAGGACTTTAGAGCGCAGTTAAGAACATCTTTGGTAAGAAGGGACGCTAAGATAGGAGTGTTTCCCAGATGCCTTCTTAATGCCCTTCTTAGGATCGCTCTTACGATTGCTCTTTAAGACGCTCTTAACAGGAGCTGACCACTATCGCGGTGCTGAAACTAAATCAATCGATGTTAGGCACATCGATCACCCACCACTTCATCAGCGCATCAGTCACATACAGTGCTGCTACCTAACGCACTAATTCCCTGCTGCTCGTGTGTATGTGTGTTCTAATAATTCTAATGAAAAACTAAGACGATAAATATTTGTTAATGACCTATTTTCATGACGAAAACAAGACTACATCTAAATAAGAAGTAGTCTTGGTAAGAAAATCATGTGGAAATGTATTATATTTAAACAAAAAACACAGATGCCTTGCTGAGGCTGGTGCTGTCTCCCACCACGTCCAGGAAGCTCCCCACTGTGTAAAAACGCAGCGCAGCCAGGCATTGCACCTCTGGGCTGAGGGCGAAATTGCACCGGGTTGCCCTCCTGATGTGTGGAGACACTAGTTGATGAGGCGTTGTATCTCAGCCGGTACTTCATTTGGACAGCCCAGTCTGACAGCATGTCGAGTGGGCTGAAGTGCTGACGCACAAATGCATTACATATACGGTTTGGCTTCGCACATGGCGACACTGTTGTTTAGCAGCGAGAATATGCTGTAAAGCAGCCATGGTATCTCACACGTGTGATGTGGCAACGCCTTTATATAGAGTAGCAGGTGGAGCGTCCCTTGATGTGGTTCCAACTGAGCTCAATTACACCTGTCAGTTGCCTGATGTCTGTGAATGTCGCAGGTTTGGAGGGTGGATGTGTTTGTCAAATGTGGGATATGTGCGGACAAATTATGATAAATGATAGTCATGATTCATTTTATTTGTGTGCCTGATGTGTACAGCACATACAGGAACACACTTGTTATATTAAGTATTGTCATACTTATTTTTCTTCCACCAGATTTTGGTGCATAACTTGTGCCACAGCTCTGAGCGCACACAGGGTCTTCATAAAGCATAGATTCAAGATTCAATATGCACAGTAAGGACACGCGTTTCCCTGCAGAATGAAATTCATTCTTTTCTGTCACCAATTAATGCTAAACAATATAAATCTGAAGTATAAAATAGATCAAAATATATACAGTGCGCACTGTTTTAACATCTCCTTGCTTAGTGCAATATTAATCTGCCTGCCGCGGCTGGAGCTGTGAGCGTTTGGTCGCTAAGAAGACTGTTAAGAGTGGGTCAGCTTGATCTTACAACTCCTTCTTAGTGAAAGATCTTAAGCTAAGAGTGATCTGGGAAACGCAGCCACTGGCCCTCATTTATCAAACGAACGTACGCCAGAATAATGGGTGTACGCTCATTTCCACGCCAACTTTGGCATTTATCAATTTGGACGTGAGCGTAGGGTACGATCAAATCTCAGGTCGGGTCTCAGTTCGTGTATGTAAGTTTGAGTCAGTGTGGATTTGCGGTGTAGCACAGCCAGATCTGGCTGAGTCTGAAAATAATTATTAAACAAACCTCTAGTGTGGGCGCACAGCTACGGGATGGCGCACTTCAGGGCCGGTGTCTCCTTGATAAGTAGGCTATTAAGTAACATTTTGGTATGTTCTTATTCTATGTGACAAAGGTTATCCCCTCAATACCTTATAGCCCCACTGGCAAACCCTGCCACAGAGCAGGAGCGCAGGTTTAACAGTGCGCACACACGCACACGGGTCACGGTGGAGCGCTGCTTCGGGTTGCTCAAGTGCAGGTGGCTGTGTCTTGGACCAGCAGGAGGAACGCTGCTGTATACCCCAGAAAAGGTGTGCAACATCATTTTGGCCTGTGCAGTTTTGCACAATATTGCTTTAGACAATGGAGTGCCGTTTGATGTGCCAGCGCAGCCAGATGAACCAATGCCCAGGGAACCGTGGCCAGCACAGCCTCCACTGGGGGCAACACGGAGGAGACAGGACCTCATTCATCGCTTCTAAAATGTAAAGTATACTTTAAAGTTGTGTAAGTGCTCTACAGTAGGCCTATTTAATCAGTAATGTAATGCAAGTATAGCCTATTAGGGTATAAGGACATTCAATACAGACAATGGACAACCTTTAGTCATTTAAACATTTTATTCAGGTTTTTTTATTTTTTTTTACATTCTAGTTAAATTATTTTAGCGTGTTATTAATTGTCTCGAGCGTGCTAACTGAAGCCAATAAATGGCATATTTCTGTCTGCCTTTCCAGGACCTCTGCCGTGATGATTGGCCAAGCATGGGAGGCGGAGGGCACGCGCTCGCCTGCCTGGCGCCATGCCGCTGGTGCCTGGCTCTGAAACAGCATTTAATCAAAACATTAAAAATGTGTACCTGTGTAACACGTGTAAGCCTATGTGGCAGCACACACGTACGAGTGGGGTTGGTACAATGGTTAGATTTATAAACAACCCAATGGAAGCCAGACAACGCCACCCTGGGAATTTCGCCTAGGAAATAGTTATAGTACCAATACAAGGCACACAGGTTAGTTTTACTTGAGGCGGGAGACGTGGTTCTGGTTAAAATACAATATGCTTTATTACAAAAGTTATTAAAAATATCTAATAAAAACACCATGCATACAGGGATGTGAAGGGAAGGGAAGGCACTAGCTTACCAGAGCTGGAGCTTACCAGTGGAGGGAAATGGGGCAATGAGGAGGCGAGAGGAATCCCAGGAAAAGGAGCACCCCAGTCACTCGTGTCACTCATGCACGCAAACACACAACGGGGAAACCAAATGAAAACCGGGGGTTGCACAGCACACAAAAGGGGACACCACCAGGGCACCAAGACCACCACCGTAAGCTTCCAGCACCTGAAAGGAGAAGGGAAACCATTATTGGGGTGAACTCAAATAATCAAATCACCAATAAACAAAAATAAATACAAAGCTTTTAACAAAAGGGGCAGCGACCAAGTTTACAACTTAACCAAATTAATATAATTTAGCTGCCATAAATATTTCAAAACAATTTAACAAGAACAATGTACACAAAATAATCAGAATTATTCAAACAGAATGTAAACGACACTTGATCAAAATAAAGTTAACATGACATCAGATAACCAAAACAAAAATAATTGAAACTAATCAATTGAGTGCACCTCCAGTGGTGACAAGAGGAGCAAATGGGAAGCCAATGAACAAAAATGAGAAAGTAAGGGAGTTAACCCCGCAGCTCACACACAAAATAGCAGCCCAAGGAAAATGGGCTGCGAACGTCAGCATATACAGTTCGTTTGTTTTAGCTGCATGAGCCTCCTATCAACGCCAGCATAGTTGACACCGGCAGAAGCAAGGCAGGAAAGCCACAGCCCAGAGGCAAGGCACGGCAAATGGCGGTGTACACAAATCAGTGCAAAGCAGCAGCAAAGCACAGCAAAACAGGAGCAAAGCAAAGCAGACCCAAGCAAAGCAGCAGTGGTTCCCAATCAGCAGCGTCACATGGCCCACCTGTCAGTGTCTGCCATAAATAAAAGAAATAAACTAAATTAACATAAAAGACAAACTACATGTTAAGGGTGAGAGCAGAGAGACAGGTTGACATGCGCTGCACATACCGATCAGGCTGCGTCAGACCGCATGCGGGAGAAGAGAGCTTCACGCTCAGATGGCTGCGGTTGCAAACCGCGGCCGCCAATAAGCCACGTGCGCCGGAACGGAGATTCCCCGTGAGCGGTTACGTCGGCACCGTGTCCGACAATCCGACGTCTGAAACCAAACATAGCGACCAATATAAAAACGTGCCGAATCAGGCTAAATCAGGTGCCAAAGCAAGACAGCTACTGCCACATTACCTGCACCAGCAACGGTGGGAAGGAGGAAGTGAGGCGACCAGGAAGTGGGCGGGCCTCAGAGCCAAAGAGCGAGAGGGCGACAAGATGGGCACTGCCCTCCTATATAGAGTGGCCTCAGGTGCTGATTGGTTAATGTGCTGAGGAGAGCAAGGTGGCACATTCGTCATGAGAGTAGGGATGATGCATCTCATCCTGCTACACCTATTTGTTTGGACAGTAGTGTAGCCACTGTCAGGTTAAATAAACTAATGCAAGCAAAAGGAGGACTGTTAGTTACCGTTCTGCTCCGGCTCCGACGAAAGTGCGTCTGTGTGCCAGAGATAGATTCTGACCCGATTAGTGAGGAGATTCTTTCCTCGGTCCCCGTCAGGGTCAGGCTGGGATCTGGTTGGCCTCCTCCAGTCTGCGTATTGCTGCGCCTAAGGGCTTTTTGGTGCCAGCTTTAAGTCTGACCACTTTTTCTTGACCTAAACGTAAAGAATTGTAACTTGATCAACTACCAGGCATTGGCTATAAAGCTATGGATGAATAAAATATTTTTTTTTAATTATTATAGGCTACTTATTGAGAATTTTATTCAAACCTCAGCCGGAGTCTGTTTGTCAACGGCGACGCTGTTGATTGCCTCCGTGATCTTCTTCTTCTTTGGGGCAGCAGTAGCTCAGTCCATAGGGACTTGGGTTGGGAACTGGAGGGTCGCCTGTTCAAGTCCCCGTCCGGACCAAAATATGGAGCGTGGACTGGTAGCTGGAGAGGTGCCAGTTCACCTCCTGGGCACTGCCAAGTTGCCCCTGAGCAAGGCACCGAACCCCCCAACCGCTCGGAGCACCTGTCATGGGCAGCCCACTCTGACATCCCTCCACTTAGTGCATGTATAGGTCCAGTTTGTGCATGTGTGTGTTGGGACCTGTGTATAATTGACAAACAGAGTGAAAAAAAATTGAATTTCCCCTTATTTATAAAGCCCAGTATCACAAATCACAACTTGCCTCACAGGGCTTTACAGCATACGACATCCCTCTGTCCTTTGGACCTTCACAGCTGATCAGGAAAAACTCCCCCCAAAAAAACCCTTTAACGGGGAAAAAAACGGTAGAAACCTCAGGAAGAGCAACTGAGGAGGGATCCCTCTTCCAGGATGGACAGACGAGCAATAGATGTCGTACAGAACAGGGCCTGTATTCACAAAGAATCCTAAGACTAAAAGTAGCTCTTAGTGACGTCATTATAAGAAAAATCTTTGAATTCCTCAAAGTGCCTGCCTGAGAGATAGAGAAAAGATTAAAGCGTCAAATTGCGGTAAAAGATGCTGTATAAAAGATAGGCTACAACTTTTTTTCCTTGTCCCCCCCTGGAATTATTCTCTAAAATTTTACTGTTTATTGTCCCCCCCAACTATGAAATGGGATTTTCGCCCCTGGTTGTGATGATGAGATTTTGTATTGACAGGTGAATTCTCTGGTGTGTCGCTGGGGGACAGGGGGTATGCCTGCCAGCCTTTTCTCCCCACACCATACACAGACCCTCAGGAAGCACAGCAGGCCTATAATCATGCCCATGCCAGGTCAAGGGCCAGGATTGAAATGACCTTTGGACTCCTGAAGGCATGCTTTCACTGTCTTAACCACTTAAGGGTCAGCCCTTTGAGGGCATGTGACATCACTGTGGCCTGTGCTGTCCTCCACAATGTGGCCTGCCTGAGGAAGGAGAGGGCCCCCAGAGTGCCATCACACATGGACTGGGACAATCCTGCCATCTTCCCTGATGACGACAGTGGTCGGCTGGTCAGGGACCAATATGTGTTAAATTATTTTAGTTAACATGCATGCTTTAAATTTCAGTTAAATATGTCCTGCAGTGGCAGAGACGCATGCTGTGAATTTCAGTTAAATATGGCCTGCATTGGCAGAGGAATTTGTGTTTTTTTTATTCAATTTAAATTGATTTGGCCTCTTATGTTGTTTGTGCTGTATACTGTGTGTATACAAGCTTGCAGGGAGGCTACTGCATCCATTCATTTGTCTGTTCATTTGTTGTGTATGGATTTGTCCTGCATTATTTCAGTGTGCAGACATGCGGGGTGTATCATATACAGACCTTTGAATGTGTATTTATTCTTGTGTTGTATAATATGCTTTGATTCCGTGCTTTCTATCTTGTAGAGTCACTGTGTGACTTTTTTCAGAAGTTTTGAAAGGAGCTCATGGTTTACTTGCTTTGATTTATCCTTATTCAATAAAGGAACATCATGTTACTCTTTGATGTGTATTTATATTTATATGGGATGTGTATTTTATATAGTCTGTGGAAAACTGTAAATTGCAAAATCATCTAAAATCATCATTTATCTAAAATTATTGCAATTAATGATCACCAATGTTTAAATAATGACAGTGGGTCTGGTTGAATGTGATAACAATGTGCATTTGGTAGTGGAATAACTATTGGTTTCCGTTTGTGGTGACTGCTGACTGAGATAAGGGATGAGATTAAATAGATCCTGGAACTTAGCCTGGTCTGGAGCAGGCTAGCTCCACAGAATAAATCTCCATGGTAACTTATGTCATAACATATTCCGCTGTCCACTATCCCGCTTTTGTGCAACCGGATCACGGATAAGTTGAGCCAGAATAACCAAGATATCCCGGCTTAATCCCTTATCCTAGTTTTGTGCAATAGGCCCCCTGGACTATCAAAGCAGGACAAATATTTATGACAAATACTACAAGCAGGTTCTAAAAAGGCAGTAACTAGGAAATGGTTGAGTAAAGAGTCCCCAACAACCTCCTAATGGACAGAAATTGTTCAGGATATTTTTTTTTTTTTTAATTTATTTTTTAGGGCTTTTTAGCCTTTAATGGACAGGACAGACAAGCGTGAAGGGGGGAGAGAGAGAGGGGATGACATGCAGCAAAGGGCCACAGGCTGGAGTTGAACCCAGGCCACTGTGGCAAAAGCCTTGTACATGGGGCGCCTGCTCTACCACTAAGCCACCTACGCCCCATTATTAAGGATATTTATGCCATGGAACAAGTGACCTTTTCCCTGAGACATGCCACTGAAAAATGTGAACAATATTGTAAAAAATGGAAATCTTATTTGACTTTGAAGTTATCTAATTCGTTTGGTGAATCTTGCTTTGTCCCCCTTGGCCAGGGGACATGTAGGATGGACAGTGGCTCATGGATGACTAGACAATTTCTTTCCCTCCCTGGAGGGGCTCTGGATTTTCAGGGGACATGGTTGGGGATCATGGGGACCTTTTGTGGTCTTGAGAGACAACAATGGACATGGATGACCCCTTGTCAGTGACATTGCAGTATAGCCTTGCCTCTTCTTATTTTCTGTTTTGCTCAATGTTGGGCATTTCACCTCTGCCTATGATGTCCCTGCCTATTTGTTGCTGATTTTGTCTGTTATTGGTTTTTGTCTACTTGTTTTTTTCTTTTTGTAAAAACTAATAAAAACTAAAAACTTAAACTAAACTAAAACTAAAACTAAAAAAAAGAAAAAAAAGAAGAAGAATGGATATGAATCACAGCCAGATCTGTGGCTTAAAGAATAGCCTGAAAAAGTCCAAATAGGGTCCTCTGCCATTGTGTTGGGTAGACAGGGTGCTGCAATTGTAATGGAGAGGGGCCCGTATCTGGACCAAGAGTTTAAAATCAAAGAGTTTTCCACATGTAACATTGTTGGTGAATCCTGACTATGTGCCAAAGCATCTAGGTCCTATGGTACTAGAGGGTAAAGAAGTAAAGTTCACACTGACTGAGAATAAAGACATTTGGTTGAGTGAAGATGGATCTTTCATCAAGATATCTGTCTCTGCTACAGGGTAGGCGTGTCAACAGGCTGTCAGACTTCCATGTCTATCTGCATTTTGTCATTAGCATTCTGATCTTGAAAAAGAGATGTTGGCTACAGTACCAACAAATTTGTGGTCAAAACATGAGACTGATGTGGGTCTCATTAAGTCGGCACAACCAGTGGAGGTGAAATTAAAGGTAGGATGCAAACCTCCATGGAAACCACAATATCCACTAAAGCCTGAGGCTGGTATTGACTAGACAATACAGGGCCTGTTGGAGGCAGGTGTGCTGGTGATTGAACCTAATCCATGTAGTAAAACACCAATCTTGCAGGTAAAGAAGGCAGACAAAAATAAGTACCGGCTGGTACACGATCTGCGAGTTTTAAATGAGGTAGTAAAGGACTTTTAGTCCGAAGTTCCAAATCCTCACAATGTTCCACCCAATGCAAAGTGGTTCACTGTGATTGATCTGTGCTCTGCATTCTTTAGTGTGCCTCTCAGTGAGTCTAGTAGGTATCTTTTTATGGGGTGCCGTTTGTAAAGTGTCTCACGCTGAAAATAACATCAACATTTTGCCACATTTAGCTTTAAACAATGTTTAAAAAAGTATTGTGAATTTTTTTAACATCACCTTTTACCACATTTACAGCAATATTTGTTAACTTAGAAATATATTAAATAGTTAAATCTAAATATTAAATGTGGCAATTAAATCTAAATGTTAAATCTAAATCTAAATGTTAAATCTAAATATTAAATCTAAATATAAATATTAAATCTAAATGTTAAATCTAAATGCTAAATATAAATATAAATCTAAATGTTAAATGTTAAATCTAAATGTTCTGCGTGAAACTTAATATTTAGCTAATATGCAAATTCACACTGCTGGTCACCGGAAGTACCAAAATAAAAGCTCGAGATGGTCAGACTGTGTTTATAGAATCAAATAACGAATTAAAACCAACTTATCGGGGGAAATGAACACTTGAACATACATTGGCGTGATAATAACTACCTAAAATAACAAGAAACATGTTTGGAGAAATTTTATTTGACGTGTACTTTGAGTTGTTAGTGTCCTTTCGGAGGGACTAACAACCTAAGCTAAGCTAACAACCGTTAGCTCTTAGCACCGTTAGCAGTGTCTGTAATGATTCATTAACTCTTAAACGGCCTGTGAAAAAAATCTTTTTTTCCAGCGGATGTCTTAGTTACAACATGATTGAGCTAGCAAAGCAGTTTTGTGTTGC